AAAGGCCTGCCAGAACAGTCCATACACCCATCAGAGCTACAGGGACGAGCCGTCACGCTAAGCCGGGGTAGAGGGCTGAGGCCTGAATGTAGAGGGAGGTAAAAGCTCAACTAGAGCACTGCTGAGGAGTGAGGCGTGGGGGTTACACACACACACACACACACACACACACTCATCCACTCTGCACTGACTCTGGCCAACAGCAACTTACTGTATACTCATTTAACAGAGACTTTTGGCTCACTCCTCTGCACAGCGTGCCCTCACTGGTTCCTGACTTGTGGACTTGTGGAAACAGGAAACAGAACCGAGGAACCAAAAACTAGCCCGTCTCTTTATTTGTGTGCATTTGTTTGCGCACCTCACATGACTCAATCGTCTCTAGGGGAACATACGTGTAGATCTTGACATGCTGCTGCAACACGGCCCAGTCAGTGGCCAAGTCTTGTTTGGTTTCCTCCCAGATTTGAACTCTGTGTGACTCTGATAACATTGAAACGAGGAACAATTTCATGCTCTCGTACTCTGGGTGCTTTTTATGACTTTAATTGTTCCATTAAGGTGCTTCAGGGTCTGGGAATGCTTTGTCATATGCGCAATATGTGTGTTTGTGCATGAGCGAGCGCACGCACGCGCACGCGTATGTGTGTGTGTGTGTGTGTGTAAAGTGAATGCCCTCAGGCTCATCAGCACTCAAGTTTATCCTATAAAGGAATTCAAGGAGTTCAGGCTTTTTAATGCTCTGGATCTGAACCAAAGACACAGAACCTGAAGATTATACTGAATGTTTATCATTTCCTGTTTCAGAGTCATGTCACTGCCTCGGTTCAAGGAATGCACACACATGTACTAACAAATGCACACACAACATGTGGTTGCATAGATTAAGATAAATACCTACTGTAGTTTCAGTTGCAGACTTTTCATTTCTGCTGGTGATGTTTGTGCTCAAAGCTTAAAACCTCTCAGTGATAACAAATGTCTACATTTATTACTGGTGCTGATGACTTTATCAGGGATGTTTTTTCAATTAGATTATTATAAAATGATTTACAGGTGAACAGAGTGGTTATGTAGTGGAGGCTATGATGATTTACTCCTTGGTTTATATGATTGAAAAAGTTATAGATATTGTTAGTATGACTGAAACTAACGATTATCAAGTCGACATATTCAAATAGCTTTTGTTTGTCTGATTGCAAGTCCACAACCAAAATATATTCAGTCTACTACAATAGAATTTTTTTTTTAAATCTAGCAAATATTCATACATTTCCTATTCTGTCAACTAATCAATTATTTAAGGAATAGTTTCAGCTCCAATTGTAATTGTTTAATGCATTATGAGTAATTTTATCGGGCTGCAGTTACTATAGTACGTAATAAATGTAAAATGGTTATCCACAGTAACACTTATGTATTAATATAAATAATAGTTTGATCCGTTTTATAGCCCACTCAGTCCACATAAATGCCCCAAATAAAACAAATCTGACCATTTCAATATGGAGGTTTGAATAAATCTCCATTATCTAAAGTAAATAATATTAATAATGGTAATGACATACACATATAGTAATTAAATAGCTACATTTAAACATACATACATTAAAACAACATCATGACAAATTATAAATAAATGCGTTCTGAAATATCCTTTAGCATCATGTTAATAATCCTAATTAAAATTGCCAGTATTGGTTTTTATTACTTTTCATGTAAAATCGCTAAAAAGGTGGCCCAGTTTATGTTCCTCCCAAAACGGCTTATATGATAACACCACACAGGTTACCAGCTGCTGCTTTGACATGAATGAGGGGTCGGAGGTCAAACAGTGACCTCACAGTTTTGGAAACATGTGTCCATCAGCAGGCCTCACACATCTGCAAGAAAGGCATCACACATATGGGTCATTGCTGGTCTTGGTGAGTTGTTTTGGGCGAGGTCCGTGTGACTCAGAGAAAGTCCAGAGAGACGTAATAGAAGCAGGAAAATCACTTAACTCGGTTGAAGAATCATTTAATTTTACACTTATGATAGCTTTCATGTTAATAGATGACAGTTCTATCTGATTTTTAGTTTGCCGAGAGACACTTTCAGTTTCTGTTTGTCTACTGACTGAATCAGATAAGATGAAGATATCATTTATCATATTTAAATTGTGCACAAAGTGTGTAGAAGAGGGCAGAGATAGCATTTCAAGTGCATTCATTTCCTGATCTTTGTAACAAACCAGATAAGCCCTCTTTTTGACGCCCCAAGAGCTAGGGATTGTGGGAAGTTATGTGAGATCTGTGATTACATTTGACAGAGTTATCTGAACAGAAAGGCTTGAAGTGATGTTTTTCTTCAGATACCCTATAGTGTTTGTATCACCCTTTGGCAGAGCTGCTTCTTTCCTCATCAGCTGCCGGTGGTTCCCTGATCTCAGCCTAACAAGCTGTGCTGAGGGTGATTAATGTGGGCGAGACCCTCCAGGCCTCTCGAGACGACGATGAGGGCCACAGCCCGAAAACAGTCAGCTGCATACTTTTAGCACACAGTCATCTTTCACTTCACCAAAAGTGAAAGGCTGCTGAAAGCTGTGAGAAGTGTTGCAGCAATTATTATAGGCTGTTTACTACCAGTGATTTTCACTGCTCTTTCAGACACACATCTGTCTCAAGAACACAGGAATAGCGGGAAAAAATGCAGGATGTCACTGTATTTTAAATCAGTGGCTTGAGCATATATGCATAATCAGATTATATATTTCATCAAGAACATGTTTTATATAAGATCAGGGAGAAATGCAACCATCACATAAACCAATGTTTAGAAGAATTTAAGAACTCAAGCCAGAGAGTATTTGACCAATCAATAAAACACATGTCGGTAGATGCTGAAGGAGAATGAGCTTTTTTAAAAGGCCGATAGCGCCATCTTGTGGCTTAATTAATCCAGGCAGTTAAAAAAAGTGGATTGCTTGAGTAATTGTTTTTCCGTGTGTGGCTCAAGTGAAGTAACTGAAGTCATAGTAAGATCTTTATAAAGGAACATTTAAAAAAACATGGATTTCCAGTTATGTATCATTAGCATGTGAAACAGGAGTTATAAGCCAAATATATTTAAAAATCACAATTACTGAGGGCATATGAAATAACAACCTGGAATATAAATTATGAAACCGTATGGGCCTCTGCAGACTGGATTCAAGAATCCTGCTTTGAAGTGTCTGTGAAAGATTTGCATGGCATTCCCACTGTTGCTAGATACCACAGACACCTAAACATGCAGAACAAATAATGAAATATTCATCACATGGCTCTCACGCACTTTGTTCAGGACTGGAGTTGCTTCAAGTTGCAACATGTGAAGACAGCCCCAAGGATAAGAGTCACAGTAAAGTGAACAATCTCCTGTCTGTAGTTAATTATGTGCGCATTTGAGTGTGAGTGTGTGTGTCTTAGGTCACATTGACACCAGAATGTGAAGAAATCAATGAACTCTTCATTCTCTCTGTGCAGCACATTGCAATGCACACTTTGATTGGCTGTTGCAACAGTAATGCCATCTTGGTCTCTGCAGTTTGTCCAATAAATCAAAAGAAACAAACATTAATGAAAGGGCCACTGATGCACCGTGGGTTTTGTGGTTTTCGCAGGCAAAAAGAGTAGATTGTCCATACAGGATTCCATTTTTGTCATTTATTTGGCAAAGCAAACAAAAACAAGCAAACAAACAAAAAGAACAAAGAAAACTGCTGTCGCTGTCTCTCTTGCACTGGTAAAAAAAACATAGGCCCACCCCGGTGCATGCTGGTCCTATACCTACCTACTTCTATAAGTAACCACAGGGGCCCACAGTGTTACCTAAAGCATAAATGACGAACTAACCCAAAAACTAAGAATACTTAAACAACAACAAAAAATAATTCAACTAAACGAATGACTATTAAAAAGATAAAGCAATCTCAATATATCAAACAAATGATCCAACCTAAATAAGCAAACGTCTAGAATAATTAAACAATACTACTTATGAATTAAATAACATCAAATAAATAGCTCCTACAGTCTCCATTAAAATAAGGCATCAAAACAAGAAATACATTACAAAGTCCAGTAATCCATTCTGTAAAATAACTGACCATTTATTTATTTAAACTTCATGGTAAACAAAAATCATTATTATTTACATATTTGTTTACATATTTAGCTTACACTAAACTCATGCAGCATGAACACTGCAGTGAGTCCTTGTTGCAGTATGTCCAGAGGAAGGACAGTTTGCAAGTTGATTTTCTGCTTGCAGCTGTGCAGATGTTTGTTGCTCATTGTCTAACCGCAGGTGCAGATGTTGGTGAAGATGTGCAAGGATCGATTCAGACGCAGGTTCAGTTTTCTGTTCTCCTCCTCCACAAGGTCACAGTTTTCCAGGGTCTTCACCTGTAACTGTGCTTTTTCTTGATGTGTCCTTCAGGCTCAGCTGTATATTCTCAGCAGACAACAAAGTGAAGCTGTACTGTGTTGCGTTTATGAGCAACTTCAGTTGGCCAGCCTCACTTTCCAGAAGCGTGACGTTCTGACTGTTGGAATTCAGAAGTTGCTTCAGCTGAATATGTTTCATTTGCAACTGCTTGGTATTGTCAGACTTTGCTGTGTAGTTATCGGAGCCAAGAGGACAGCAGCCACACCACCAAGAAGCATCATCAAAATCCCAATTGAATCAGCTTGCCAACTGGCCAAATCCAGTTGTTTTGAGTCCGTCTCAAAACAACTTTCCACTTCCACTTCTGTGGCAATTTTTGCTGGTTCATCACCAGCATTTTCACCTTTAACACTAAGAGCAAAAAAAGGGATCAAGAGATGTTACTGAAAATAACATTCTCTAAAACTACAAACACCGGTAAATAGCCTACCACATACCAATTACGTAAATAAAGACCAGATTGGTCTTTATGCATGATTGCCTTTACTGTACTTTTACTTCAGCTCCGAGTTCAATATTATCACCTAATATTCGCACCAACACCTTGTCCTATCATTAAATCCAAAAATACATATTAATTGTATCGATATTTAAAGAGAACTTTAAACAGACCAAAACAAGTGTTATAACTGATTTCATTACCTCCATTTCAATCATGTCTTCTCTGTTTCAGCAGTGTTTCTCCTGGATCTGGATCCCGTTGCTAATGTTACGCGAGATGTAGGTATTATCCAATTGTCTTCAATTACGTGTATGTTGTAGCCCCTTCGCTTGGCTAACACTCACTGGTTGTTGTTTTTTACAATAGTAAAACTATTATTTTTGTGTCCTCAAGAACTTTTTAAATAAAAGTAGCTTTGTACTTTTATTGAAGGGACATTTGGTGCGTGTGTGTCTCCAGAAGTCTTCCCAGAGGTACTTGACTCCATGTCTCTTTGGTCACACTTCACACGCAAATGTAAAAAATATATTAAATCAATCAACTCTTCCTCTTCTGTTGGACTCTTCAGGAAATAGACTCCTCCAAAATAAGACAGCAAATTACACCTTTATGTCTCAGCTACACGTGTAAGTACAAATTAAACACAATAAAAAGTATATTGTTTACAATGATCTATAAATCATCTGACTAATGTACAGTTTGCTTGCTGAAATAATCCTGAAAACAAAATGCACTCACAACTTCCCTCGAGCCTCCACTATCAAATACTTATGTCCTTTTTGATCTGTGGGATAAAGGAGCCAAACAGCACATAACTGAAAGTGGGAAATATCTTCAACGGCCATGTGTAACCTCAAAATATATGTTGGCAAATTAAAAACTAAATCCAGTGATCCATTCTGTAAAAGAACTGATGATGTATTTGATTACCTTATTGGAAACAAAAAAACATTACTATTTGCATATTTGCCATCTTATCTGAGACTGCACATCTGTTGCTGTAGTCTCTGTTGACAAAGAGCATTTTAATTTTTTATACAGAATGTAACAAACAAGTCGGATTCAAAAGTCAAGCATGGGAAATGGGGACACGAAGCACTAACAAATCAAAAACAAATGAACACAAGACAAATTTCACATGTCAAAAAGAAAAAAGATTCTGAAAGTCTGCCAACATGGTGTCTGCTGACACCAGTGATTATGCTTCGACTTTGAGTAAACACCAGCTAATTTAGCCTGAGAGGGATAGGATGTTCTGCAGGCCAGCAGCTGTAGTCAACGCGGGGTGAGGCACAGTGTGCACAAGAGTGAGAATTGACTCAAATATTAAGAAACAACTCACTGCACATGTACAGTATATGTACTCAGTAATGTCTCACATGTTGACAGGTTTAAAGTTGTTTTGCTTGTGCACGTTGTGCCTCAGCTCAAAACCGTAGAGAACCGCTGCTGCAGGCTAATTTATACATGCTATGAATGTGTGTGTGTGTGTGTGTGTGTGTGTGTGTGTGTGTGTGTTAGTGTCTTTGTAGGATTGGCTGTCTCAGACACAGCTCACTGCTTCCAGAAATGATGGGCATCTGGTTCTCCATGTGGAATCGCACCAGGTGAACAACACTCAGAAACACCTGATCTCGGGTCCGCACCTGGTTAAGCAAAAACACAGACAAGTTTAAACATTAAAGCCAGCTGGCATTTGCCTCTCTGCATGCTTTGAGTATTTGCAATCCAACACTAAAGCTCTTTACCTGTCCATGTGGATCCACCAGCAGTAGGTGGCGCACGGTGGCTCCCTCCATCCCGCTGAGTACGTACTGACCAGAGGCAGAGCTGCTCTCTCTGACCAGGAAATCACCGCTACAGGTGAGAAGTGACTCCGCCTGCTCCCTTCCTAATCTGGGATGAAGGACAGACACAAAGTTAGTGAGAAAGGAAGAAGGAGATATACATTATACGACAAACACATTTAAGATGGTAATTCACTGGTAGTGAAGGACGGGGATGTTGATTACCTGCCGTGGAACCAGACTTCCTCCTGGATCAGGTCCTGGATCCGTGTCTCAGAGAGAGGAATGCACTGTTCAGCACTGATGTCAGATACCACTGAGTCTGATGGAGAAACAACAGAGGAATAATATAACTGTCCACAAGGGTGGGTTGCTTAGTAACTTCAAACCAAGATAATATCATGTTTTCTTTTTTTTAAACTATGCTGTTGTACCAAATCTATAAACTCAGTGTTAATAAGGTTAGTTCTAGACCTTTCTTAAAATCTAATCTTACTCTAAAACTAGTTTCAAATCAGCTCCAGGATGCAAAACTCAGATTTAAACTCAGATTAGTGGTGAACGTTAAACTGACAGTTGAGGTCTTTTAAAATGGCTGCATTTTGAAAGAGAAATTGGCAGATTCAACCCTGCTGAATAACATATTCTGAACGTTTAAGTCACTGCAGCATCAGCAAAGAGTCCAATAGTCAACAATCCAATAAAAAGAATGCTCTAATTATGTGACATATAAATAATGTTGTTTTCTCATTCAGATGTAGGCTACCGTGTAGGCTACTGATTGGTTTCAATAATCCTGAACTATAGTAGTTTTACTTTTGGTTTAAACCAATATTGCACTTTGGTTGCAACCATATAATTTGGTTTACTTTATCAGGTTTTCATTGAAATTACACAGCACAGATGGGATGGATTTAAAATCTGGTTTAATCATTTTAAACAAAGTTTACTTCAGCTATAATTAACCCTAATTTTGGTTTGAAGTACACTTTCTCATGCACATAGAAACACAAAGTGGTTCCAGACAGACACATACAGTCTGAAGACACTCTGCAGTGTATTGATGAGTTTTACCTGCAGGTGGAGCTGGAGTTTCTTCTGTGATGGAGCAGTTCTCATACAGTGAAAGAGGCTGAGATGAACAAACCTGCAACAGCACTAGATGAGTCATACAGACAAGATCTGTGTGTGCATGTGTGCATGCAGGAGCAGTGATGGCATAAAGGTTAGAGACATGTGCTCATGACCGGAAAGTCGCAGACTTAATTCCCAGACTAGCGTGATAATTCTGGGAAGTTATTACAAACAACTGAGGCGTCCTTGAACAAGCTCAAGTGCTTCTGGAGATGAAATTAGTTTATTCTTCTCTTTTAAAATGTAAAATGATCTTTTGGGTGTCGATAAAAAAGAGCTTTATTCAAATTAGGCAGTGTATTACTGAGATATACAGCTACACATATAAAACCATTGTAACATGTACAACTCCACTACTGTGGAGGAAGTTAAGAGTGGAATATAATACAATATACTGTATATGCACACACCCAAGGACTCACTCCAATCACTTCATGTCACAGGAAGAAGAACAAGAAGCAGAAGAAGAGTTATTAATCCAATGGCATTAGCTCATACCGTCTACATCTTTCCCCCCAAAATCATGCACACGTTCCAACTTACTCGTTTCTGAAGCTTTCAACCATATCTAATGGCCTTCCTCAGTGGATGGAGTTGCTCAGTAATTCGGTAAGTACAATGTATAATATATATTCTAATCTATGCTTATATGATATAATGCCAATACATGATATCATTATTATATTCCATTGTTTAATCATGAGAGAACTACTAAACCATCTCCATGGCCGCAGAATAACTTAATATACTGAGGAGGGCCAGGAGATGTGGTTGAAAGCTTTGGAAAAAAGTTGGACTTTTTTTCTGGTCTCCCTGAAGCTGACTAAATGTTAATGTTAATGTCACTCTTACCCCCATTATATCAGGATCCTGTTTGTTCTCCGCGCTCGTGATCCGCAGGTCCTCTATTCCAGCAGCGGGTGGTGTCTTTCCAGGGATCATATTGTAGTAGTCACGGTGCTCGCTGGCTCGCTTGGCCTTTTGTTCCGTTATCGTCTCCTCTGTGCTCCATTTGTGACAGATCCTCACTGCTGACCTGCAGGCAGAGAGTTACATGATGTTCACCTCACTGCCTCCACTGTGGAGAAGCTGTGACATGACTTTGGTTACTATAATGCACACGCGAGAACACACACACAGACACACACATACACACAAAGATAGACACATACTCAACAAATTGTTCAGCTCTACACAAATATACAAACACAAAAACTAAGTCACCTAACAATAAGGGCCCCTTGGATCAAACTCTCAAAGAACTATGATGTTGTAAAAGCCAGTGAAAATAATAATTGGCCAGCACAGAATTGTTTAATTGCACTCCTGATCAGATGGGTGAAATGTACATTAAACACACCAATGAGACAGTTAAGGTAGACAGAAAGACAACCTGGGATTGTTGGAGAGGAGCGATGGCGTGTGGTTCAGAAGTTGTCGGAAACGTGTTTCGAAGGCCTGACCGATGCTGTTGATAACCTCACTGGCACGACCCTTTGGACACTCCAGGATGTGACATGCTGATGGGGGGGGGGGAGAGAGACATAAGTCCAGTGGAAGCCGAGCTCATCATAATGTGAAATTAAACTGTGCTATACCTCTCTGATTGACGAGGTCCTTGGCAACATAAGCGATGTAATCAGCCATGTCCTGCAAACAGATAGAGAGAAAAATCAAGAAGACTTTCAGCAAAACTATGTAAACTTTGTTGAACTCCGTGGCAACGAATGGCAATTACAAGAAGCTAAATTCTAATATAGTGTATACATACAGTTTAACAGTAGCACAAATAGATAAGATAACAATAAGTGAGATCACGACTCAATAATTATACAACCGTAACTGTCTACGTTAGCTTACATTAGCTTCCATAAGCTACTGGTCATATCAGACCAAGTAAGACTGTAGCAAGTGTATTGAATTGAGTAGTATGACTTTTATTAACCAAAAATTGAACTTTTAATTTGTAAAAGAAAGATAGTATTATTTTGTCTTTTAGAAAGCATTTGTATGCGCACAAGGACGCTATTAAACCTCCTGACTCTGTTGTTGTGTTCTTCAGTTTATAACCTGTGCATCTGGTGGGTTTAGTCTCTATAATTCATGATTTATAATGGAAAACACAGCAGACATTTTCAGTTAACTGGTCGTCCACGTGTATTCTGTTTAAATAATTCACTTCCTATCAGTGGTTCTCTGATACTAATACAAGAGCAGAGTCAGCGGAATATGTTTCACCATAAAGCCTCTGTGGCAGATTGATTTTAATTCCCCCGCTATCTTCTATGTGTCGAAGCCAACTGAGCCGAGACTTAGAGCACACTACAAGATTATTTTAGCTAATTAATTAAGCAGCGAGCTATAATCCCATCCATCGCTGCGGTGGTGTTGTGTTTCCCTGAGAGAAACCGCCCTCCTGTTCTCTCTAATCTTTGGCCAGACCGACGTCGCAGTATCACAATGGAAATGAAATATTGAATACAAATGCTGGGTACAGTGTGAACCCAGCATTTGTATTCATTGTTTGTTCGAGCTGAACAATGGAGTTCATGAACACAAACCAAATCATAAGTAAGCATTTTTGTTCATCAAGCCGTTTGCAGCTAATAACTGACATGTCCTGCTGGCTATTTAGACAACAGCATTGATATTATTTGTTTCACTCAGGATGAATAACCCAAATTCTTTCATATGGAAATAATGCAGGAATGGAGGGAAAGAGAATTAAAACACATAAGAGTAATTAGTTTGAAACAAACTTGGTAAACTTTACCAAGTTTCAAAGCTTTACAGTGTAAAGACAAAGAAAGCACAAACCAGCTTTGATGGTTGTGACACAAGAAAGGATTTCATGAATTGTTGCTTATAGTCGTGCATTATCCCAAGAATTATTCTTAGATGAGAATTTCCCCATCTTCCATATTGATTATTCTTTCTTTCTTTTAAATCCTCTTTGTAAGAGTAATTTTTTAAGCTGCAAGGATTTTATGAATAGCTTTTATTCTTGAGTTTGTGTCCAAAATGTAACTTTTAGTGGCTTGATAAATACAGACCTCACACCACCAATTAAAAGTGAAGAAGATTCAAGCGTTGGGGTCGGAAATAATTCAATCCTCCACACATGGCAGCAAACCAAGCAGTAATAAAGCTAAATCAAATTAGTCACTCTGTGTATGTATGTATATGTGTGTGTGTGTGTGTGTGTGTGTGTGTGTGTGTGTGTGTGTGTGTGTGTGTGTGTGTAGGTGTGTGTGTGTGTGTGAGTGTTGAGTGTTCACATGTTTGTTCATGTGAAACATTTGAGAATATGAACATACTGGATCTCCTCCTGAGGCAAATGAAATGGCCTGCATGGGGTGGTGGGCAATCTTCTGTGGAGGAGAAGAGAGAGGAACAAAGCAAGCACAGAGTTTGTTTGTTTTTTACTCCGCATGCCTCAATAATTAAGATGTGTGACAGTTATAATGCAGTTAAGCGTGTTGACTCGGTCACCTGAAAGGAGGCGGCAGCGATAAGAGTCACACTGTCTGTGGAGACAGTGACGATGATTCTGCTCCCTGAAAACTGTAGGTTGATTTGACCCAGAAGAGCAGACAGTCCCTTGTAGACAGGCTGATGATGACAAAAATCTGTTATTCTAGTTGGGTCTGTGTTGATTGCATTGGTGTGTGTGTGTGTTTGTGTACCTTACCCTTTTAGTTTTCACTGCTGATGTCCTCTCACACAGTCTGCTGATTGCCTCTCTGCACACACAAACAGAGATTATAAACATGTACACATACAGACGCACATACACACACACACACACACCGAACACAGAGATACCTTTGTGAATATGGGATCCAGCTACTAACATGTGACTTGCATGCGAGAACATGAGAGGAAGGAAACTACATCACAAGAAGCTCATCTACAGTATATGAGAGAAATAAAATACACTAACATTACTTTTAAAAGTAGTACTATATTCAGTGGAGAACTGTAACAAAATACATTTACTCAGGTACAGTTTTCAGGTATTTCTGTTTTATGCTACTTTATACGTTTATATGTATGTACTTATTACTTTATTTATTTGAGTAGTTATTGCAGATTAACATTTAAAGAAAACAATACATACATTGTTACAGACTACCAAGCAATCTATCAAGTATAGGTCAATGTTGGAAGAACATAAAATTACTAATACATCAATTTAAGCCCACTCTGTTGTAAGCAAAAATCCTGCATTCAAAATCCTACTTAAGCAAAAGTATTATTACCAACATGTACTTCACCTATCAATTGAATATCAGTGAGCCCTTGCCTGTTTAGAAAAGCTATACATACTCAGCTTTGTATAGTTGCTGATGCTTCGATCACAGAGGCCAAACCATAAAAACACACACGCACACTAAATTAACATCCCACTATCTAGGAAGTAAGACTTTTTTCCAGGAAGTACTTTTCTTCTCCTTGAAAACAAATTGTATGTAATGGATTGAGGTCTCTCTCCCTCTCCTCTTAATAAGACTATGAGAGATCATTAGGAGGAAGTTTATCTAATTGGATTTTCTGCCCCATCATTCAGCAGTGTTGTTGTGAACAGAGCGAGCTGTGTTTTGGCATCCTGCACAAGGATGTCAATATCAAATGATGAGGAGAAAGCCCCGGTTTATGAAACATTATACTTTTAATTTGATTTCCCCCTTTGAAACATTTTTTCCAAATAAACCACACACGCTTGGCAAATATACGTATGTATATTTCTTCTTCCATGCACAGTGTCAGCAGTCAGATCTTTAGTTTTATTATGATCTATCTGTGTCTGTGTGTGCGTGTGCGTGTGCGTGTGCGTGCGTGTGTGTGTGTGAGTGTGTGTGTGTGTGTGTGTGTGTGTGTGTGTGTGTGTGTGTGCGTGCGTGGTAGTTGGAGGACTTCCTACCGTGTGACTTTCATTCTCATATTAAAGTCGAGGGTTCTCATGGACTGGGTCACTTCCACACTACCCATGTACTAGGAAAACACAACAAAACACCAGTTACTCACTGATTTAAATGTTAAGCAATACAGCCACAATAAAAGTATTATGTGATCTCAGAAAGAGTGCTGATGTGGGCAATGTCTCTGTCCTGTTTCTCCTCAATTTAAATGGGGTCATGCTTTTCTCTCTTCTTGGCTGTTGCAGAAATCTTTAGCATGACTACCGAGGAAATCAGTTAAAATAACGATTTAACAAAAACAAGTAAACACGACTTAGAGTACAGCCACGTTAGTGCCTCTGTGGGGCTATAATACATGTTAATATGCTGGCAGGAACAACGCTAACGTGCAGATATCATGTTCACCATCTTAGTTTAGCATGTTCGCATGCTAACATTTGCTAGTTAGAACAAAATACAAACTACTGAGGCTCCAAATCAAAGTATTGGACAATTGATGATGAAAAATTAAGAAATCACCAAAGTTGTTATATCCCCATTGAGGGGGGATGTTTAACAAGTTTCAAGGTAATACATAGTTGACGAGACCTTTCATTCAAAATCTCTTAATGGCGCCAGATGAAAAGTTGTCTGAACAAAAATGTGGTGCCAACCTATCCAGTAGATACTGAGATGTTTCAGAGTATAAGAACACTGCTTGTGGTTCTAGTGGAGAAATCATCCACATCACTTGAATCCATCCTCTGGGCAGAGTGGTTATCCGAACCAAATCCATCCAATAGTTGTGTAATAGCTAAATAATAAGACATCAAAACCCCAAAATGTCAACCATAGTTGTAGAGATATTTCAGTCTGGACCGATCAACTTTGCCATTCTTTGAGGCCACTAACATGGCTAAAAAAAACACATCACGATTACATTTTCTCCCTGTGACTTTTATAAATAAGGAAAAATAATAGTTTTAGTATAATGTGACACTTTTATTTTCCACTCATAACTGCGACATTAAACATTAAATCTACATGCAGATGTGCTTGTGGACTGTGGACTAGTCCATCCGTAGTTATCCGACATGCAACTTCTGCACTAAAGAAATAGTTTTGGAAGTCTTGACATGTAGTAAATGCAACCAGGCGACATTTAGACTATGTGCTTGGATACACTTTGGCTAGTCCCACTTCTATTGGCCATGAGCTTCAGCAGAGCAGACTCTATAGGCCGAGGGCAGGATGAGTAAGACCACTGATGAACACCGGACTTAAATCAAAATGTGTGTGTGTGTGTGTGTGTGTGTGTGTGTGTGTGTATGTGTGAGTGGGGTCAGTGGGCGGTAGTGCGTAATGTATGTGTGTGCTTGTTTATAAAGGACAATCAAACAGTCCGTTCTCATTTCCATCAGTGGTCAGCTCACAGACCCTGCTCTTAATCACCCATGCGGACACACCTCCGGTTCTAGGACAGCATGGGCTCTGCTGATACCGGATACATTCACAAACACACACACATACGCACGCACACACACGCACACACACACACACACACACACACACACACACACACACACACACACACAGAAGCAGAGCAGATCTAGTGAGGAGCAGAGAGTCAGGATGAGTCACTACTGCCTACACAGGAAGCTCTATCTGAGAGGGAGGGGATGAACGTATGAGAGTGAGTGTGATGGTGTGGATAAAGCTCAGTGAGACAGAGTGTTTCTATGTGTGTTTGCATTCTTCGTTCACGTGTATGTGTTTTTGTGTTGGCACCAGTGGGAATTAGACCTCAAGTCTCTGATGGGACCCTGGATATGAGGTTAGCTGCACTTTCTTACAAAGTTTAAAGTGAAGAAGCTTTACACTAACAACCGATCAATATTTTAGTAATAAACATTAACAATTTTAGGCAAATGGTTTAAAAAAAAGTGAAAAACATAAAGATTAGGTAAGGAACTCTTAGCAGCCGTCTGATTTCTGTTTGTGCACAGCCGAGTGTATTCATGCGCTGTTATTAGTGCACGTGTGATAGGTACCTTGATGTGATGGTGAACCATTCTGCTTGCCATCCCCACCACTGCACAGTGGTCTACTGCTGAGGAAGTCTTCAAAGGGCACAGACCGTCTCTGTGCTGTGAGCAAGGAGGACAGTCGGGGGTCCAGGGGAGGCTGGTAATCCGATGCAGGGTGATGGATCTTTTTGTGCAGCGCAGAGCCGAGTGGGTCAGGTTTTGGCCAGTGGATAGGGGCACATTGAGGGAAGGTTGGCTACAAAATCTCTGATCAGGCCCTGAGCCCCATTCTGCCCTGGATAAGGGTCTGTCAGTGTGTCCATCAATGGTTCTGTCCCGGTCTGTGTTCGTCTGTCCCCTCAGGCCCCAAAGGGAAATTGGACTTTGCAATCGGATGTTGGCCACGCGGGGGATGAAGTCCCTCAGGGTGGACGTTCCTTGGTGTGTCGGCGCTCCGGCATCCAGCTGTGCAAAATCAGAGTCAAGGCAAAGGTCCCTCTTTGAGGGCAGCATTCTTTGGGGCCGATCCTCTAGGGACGTCAGCGAATCGTTGCGCAGACGACTGTATTTGGTGCGCTTCAGCATGCCTGTAGAAGATGAAGCAGACGTCCAGCAAAGTGCATTTCATTGCACTGATTATGTCTGCAAAGACTACAAAAGAGATGAGCTACCTGGTAGAAGTCCCGTCTGTGATTTGAACCTGGGTGAGGTTTGCTCTCTCATAATCAAGAAACTGGACGAGGTGGAGCACTAGGACACAGCAGAGCAGAAACAGGAATCACAGTTATTTCATACAGAGGTTTGACTCGATTACATAGATGTGACTAAAAAGACAGGCATGAAATGCCTCTGAAGTTGATCATTTCGGTTCAATTGCGAATCAACTGATCTTTGGGAAGTGATCTAAGCGTCTGGCACACTGTGTCCTCAGATTATTACCGTACGTTACAGTAGATTCAACTCACCAGCGTGGGACAGCGGATGTCCCGTGTAGTCTAACGTCCAGTCTGCTGTGCTCTAGTCCTGCCGAGTAGTCCCACTAGAATGACCCAGACAGTTGCCAGGCTTCCAGCTCTGCTTAACCTCCACATCAACTTTCCACCCCTCTGTCTCTTCTCTTTGAGGCACGGCGGAATTTTGCAGCTTTTATGAATGAACTTCTCTATTTTTAAAAAATTTTTTATGAATGAGAGGCTCTCGCTCACTTCCTCTGTCTCTCTCTATGACGGTGCATGCAGATGAATGTGTGAATGGAGCGGAGGAGAGATTGACAGATGGCCCCCTAAGGCTCTCACCCCCTCCCTCACCCATAAACTACCATCCAATCACAGGCGAGTAGGGTGACTCATGCTGTACATACACACACACACACACACACACACACATACACTGAGGCAGAGCCAATACAGTACATGAGTGCTGAGTCTAACATCAGCTGCACCTCAGAGATGCTGTTAAAGTGGGATATTAATACACTAGCTTTGCCCTAAAAAGGTTTTCTCCTAATCTAAGAACATAAGGGGTTGACATCTTTTGTAGAAATTAATCAAAGTGACTTGATTTACCCAATAATACATTCCATATTGTACCTTGTGCATGTGCTATTCAAATGACCTGCATGAACACGCAAGAGTAAGGGCATTTACCTAAAACATCTGCATTTCCCTTTGATTCCAATTAAAGCAATATGTCAGACGCCGACTAAAGAGTGATTTACATATCGCACTCATTACTGATTAAAAGATTAATAGGAAACAAAAGCAAAGTGCAGACAGAGTGTAGAAGTACTTTCATCCTTCAGCCTGGAATATAAGAGTAAAGCGCTATTTCTTTGACTTTAGGATTTTTCTTCAAAACAAATAATTTAACTACAGATAACGGGTCCACTGCATACTATATGTAAATAAGCTGGATGTGACACGTCTGGGTGCATGAAACAGTGTGCGGCAGAGTTTTGTCCCTTCCTAGTGGTTGTTTGGTGAAACTGCAATCTAGGCCTAGAACTAACAATTATTTAGATAATCAATTATCCGAGGACTGGCTTCTTGATTGATTAAAGCGTCGTTTATTTCTGTGGAATATCACAAAACTATTTAAAAAATGGCTTTTGTATTTTCTTGGAATAGCTTGTTTTATCCAACCAAGAGTCCAAAACCCAAATAAATTCAATTTACTATCATATACACAACAAAGAAGACAAGGTATGAGTCAAACGATTTACTTAAACAACATTTTAATGATGTTAATAATCATCAGTTCATATAGGTTAAGAGCAATAACAGGATTATGAGAAACAGCCTAGAACAATGTTGCTAGTGATGTACAGTCTGAAGGAGACGGTCTTAAATATCCATATAAAGACGAGGAACACGCTGAAAAAAAAAGAAAAAAAAAAGTACTTCATTGAACCGTTCTGTTTTTTTTTTGTTCACATTAGTTACAAGACCTTTACCAGTACTGTATTTACATAGTGCAAAGAAACACACTTGCTGTTAATTAACTTACTTCAAACACTTTGATGGAAGTCAGAGCAACCGAAAGCCTACACACAGCGTACTTGTTACCAAACTAGAAATACTTTCATAATCCCAAGTATGATATTTAAGACATTAAGATGTCTTAAGATGTCTTAAGAAGATATTTAAGTCATCTCCCCTCTCAAGGCTCCACATTGCATACAGCCCGGCATACTGCATTTAAACACACCGCCTCGTCGTCGACTGGCTGACATCTCACCATCAAACACCATTATCAAATTGGATTCAAACTGTTAAATTGTTAAAACTTATCAAATGGCTTTAAGAACAGGATGATTGTATTTGTTTTAATACAATGAAAAATCAAAATCTCTTTTGTACACATGTATTTACAAAGGTCTGAGCACGACTGTGGGACCACTTCCAGGGTGCCTCTGCCCACGATGAGGGAGCTTCTCGGCTGTGGTGAACTTACTTTCGGCAACCCGTCTGTAAAATCTAGAAAAGCTCTAAACGGATTGATCCATATCTGATACTTTTGGTCTACTTGGGTATTGTTAAACTTTATCAATACCAGTAAACACCTGCTTGATTTAAGTGTCATTTTTAAGGAAATGGAGTGAATACTGGTAAAACAATGACTTTCCAGTACCAGGATTATTTCATACATTACACAACTATGCCCTGTGGATCTCCTCAGATCTCAATATTAGGGCTTCTAAAAATGTTATGTCATTACCAAGAAGACCGCTTGAGACCGCCCTCCCCATCAGAGAACAAACACCACCAGAGGGAACAACACGAACATTTCTTCTTTTTTTTTTTTTTCCTCTTCTGAAGCACAGACATCTGGGAACTCAAGACAATTCCAGTCAGAGGAAAAACAACCAAAAGAGTTTCACACGAGGCAGAATCAATATGACAAACCAATATATACTGTAGTAGAACCACATAGACATGGTTATATACACAAAAGCTCATTTTGCTTCTTAGAAGTTAAAGTCATCCGAATCATCTGAACACAGAATGGGACACTTATTATTTGAACATTAAAATAACACTCTGAAGACTGAAGGGTGGGCGTGGTTTTGGTAGAAAGACAGAACCCCCTGGCACTGTAATGCTCTGTGAGAAAAGCTAAATATCAACCAAGAAGTAATCAGGAAATGCATGTTTCTCCTTCCCTCAAAAAAAACCATTATATACAAAGATAAAGCTAAAGAACACAGCAAAAAATAAATGCAAACTATGTGCCTGTAAACACACACACAAGCACACAAATACTTGCAGAGCTGTAAACCTTCTGAGCTCTGCATGAAATAAGATGGGAGCTGAACGGTTCCAACCTTCATTCTCTGTGAGCTACAGACAGCAGTTCACCATTGTTAAGCACTTGCTCCCAGAAACGTCCCCGACTCTAAACGAGTTCAGCCTCGGAGGAGGAAAGTCACAAACTTCCCTCTGAATTCAAGTGTAGCAGGTTATGGGCCGAAGAAGTGAGGGCATCCTTTTCAATTACAAGAGGAGTGTTGGTGTCGACGACTGTCCCTCAGACTGTGTTAGTTGCTGTTTGGTCTGCGATGGTGTGTGTTGGTAAGTTGGTCACTTTCTCTGTAATGTGTGTAAGTGTTGGTCAGTTGGTTGATACCTGAGATTATGTCTGGTGTCAGGGGTTGGAGACAAAGGAGAGAAGCTGCTGGTTGCTGTGAAGAAGAATGTGAGAGCAACAGAGGGAATGAGTGTATCTGAGAACAGAGGAGGGAGGAGGAAGAGGAGGAGGAGCCGACATCAACCTGTGACCTTCTTAGCCTCCACTTGCTCTTTGCCCTCGGTCCTCGTCTCTGTGATATCCGCTGAATCAAGGTCCTCCTCCTCACTCTGCCCTTTCTCCTCCTCCTCGTCGTCGTCTTCCTCTTCTGTACTCTCCTGGCTCTTCCCCAGCTGCAGGTTTTCCAGGGTCTTTGACACCCAGGATTCAATGCGGCTGCTGAGGGTAGGCACCTCCACAGAAATAGGCTCAGGAGTGTAGTCCTCCTCCTCCTCTTCCTCCTCCTCCGCCTCTTCCAACATACCGGGGACCAGGGTGGACGTGGTGGAGGTGATGGAGGAGTTCAGCGGGCCCCTGCAGCTCCCATCCAGCGAGCCCGTCTCTGTGCTCTGCTGAGAGGCCAGCTCCAGCCGGTCGTCTACCCGGACCTCGTCTCTCTCACCGGTACCCTGTGTCAGTGTCGGAGGTGCTAGCCTGGCTGGCTGGGGAGCAGCTGAGCCAGGCGTGGCTGCGTTGGCCGTGGCTGCCAGAGTCTCACCGTCTTTTTGGGTGGCTGTGGAAGGTGCAGGGCGACTCGGCTCAGCCTCTACCGGCTCCAGGGCATCTGAATTCTCCACTATACTCCTCCAGTTGGTCTCTGAAGGAATTAATAGAGTTGTTATGCTCCATAACTGGTGCTTTTATTTACTGATTATAGATAACCCTAAATAACTGACAGAAAATGAGGGAGCTTATGAGGGAGCTTACCGTACTCCTTCTCATTGACTTCTGAAATAGGCTCAGAGAAGATGGAGCAGAAGGAGATGGCAGAAGCAGCAGAGTGGTTGCGGGAGTGCCCCATGTGGTGTGGGACTTTCTTGTCATTCTTTTGAGCCTCCTCGGCCTGCTCCTGCTCCAGAGCTGACACCATGTCCTTGTAGGCCTTCCTAGCCTCTTCAGTCAGAGACACCAGACGGTTGAAGAGACTCTGAAGAAGGTTTAACCAAGTTAGCGAGGGGCAAAAAAACAACAAAATACTGTGTTTCTACTGCTCTATACTGAAAACTACTGACTTGATGCATACGTGTTCTGAAAGTGACTTACCTCAGCTCCAGAGTAGTTGAAAATGCCAACCACACTAACCGGCACTAGTTTGTTGACGCAGCGTCCAAGAGCTTTTCTGCCCAAGGCAAACACAAACGGGATCTCCTGATCCCGTGCCATGGCAATTACATTGTACAGAGCTTCATCCAAACCACCTGCAACATAGTCAACAATAAGGGACTCAAATGTATCAAATTTCAGAAAATAAATGAACTAAAACAACAGGAAATACCAGCTAGTGACTTGAGCACAAAGTGCAAAAACCTGCCGTTTTGAGATTATGGAAATTTGGCATATGGGTATACCATGAAACACGAAAATATGGACTAACGCTGGGTGGTTTTACAACATTCTTTACCTTTGGCTTGGATCTTCTCACAGTTGGGAGATATGATGACACACTTAATCTTATTCAGCTTCATGTGCTTGGTGACCTCTCGGAGACCCATGACCAGGCGGCGTTTGGACTTGGCCTTGGTAGGATCCTTCTGGTAGACCCGCTCCTGGAAGCGAACCAGTTCCTGTAACAGCATAGTCACGCTCTCGTCGATCTCCTTACTCAGCACCTGGTTACAGTACCTGCAGAAAGAAAAAAATAAGGTTATGGATGTTCAAAAGAGTGTTTTCATCTTTTGGGTGGCTACCTAGCTAACAATGATGATCACCATTAATGGTAACTAGCAAAAATAATGCTCGAAATTGTCATGATATGCTGCTTCTTTTTATCTAATGCAACAGTTAACTGAATAGATATGGTTTTAGAGTGATGGTCAAACAAAACCAGCAATTAGATGGTGTCAACTTGTGATGGCATCTTCCATTATTCTCTTACATTTCATGATTTAAAAAATAACCAAAAGCAGTCCGTGATGAAAATAAATGTTGAAGCCCTATGTGGCTTTCATCGTTGTTGCTCTTATTAGAGTGACTCAAAGTGTATACAGCTTTGTTGGTTATGTTTACACTATCACACATAAAACAGGATGAATACTCCCAGGAGCTTTATGGTTTGGTGAAATACCGAATCGGAAGATCGATGTAGTGTGGCCTGAGGAGCAAGCGTCCTGGCCGGCACAGCTGAGGGGAGGAGCTTGGCTACAGAGGCCTTTTGGAGGCTTTAAATGCTAAATCTGTTAGAGAAGGGTGGGCTGGGACAATAGGCCCACAGCAGAGGACACAGAGGGACAAAGCTGTGTTTGTGAAAACCGGCATACATCTTCGCTAAGAAGGGACAATGTGCTCGGCATCTGTGCCATACTCTACAATTCATTATTGTACAGTTCCGCCCTTAAGAACACCCGATAACTTTCAGAGTACGCTTCTCCCAGCCAAGGCTCTGGTTTCCGAGTGGGACAAGTATTTGCTTTGCTCACTATTTTTTGTGCATTTTTGAGACATTTCAATGCTTGGGATTCCTACAAAATGTCGGCTCGACATTCCGTTTCTCGCTCCACGCAGGTTGAGCGCGTCTACTTACTCTCTGAAACGACGGCTGTGGATCTTCGTGATGGCGTTTGAGGCCATGGGACTCCCGATGCCAGAGCTGGCAGGAGAACCCTGGGACACCGGGGTGATGCTATATGGAGAGTTCTGACTGGCCGGGGAAAGGGATGCATCGCTGGGCATACTCAGACCGTTGTCTGTGGTACAAACAGCAGACCACAAATAACAATTAGAAAATGTATGATGGATAAAAAAAAATGGGTACACATCTGAATAGTTTTCACCTCTTAATAATAATTTACCCTCACCTTCTTGGGAGGCAGGCTCTCGTGCAAGATCATCAGTAAAATGTAAACTCTCTTCCCCGTGCTCCTCCTGGCCTGAGGACTCCTGTTCCACGCTCGTCTTCCCCTTCTTCCCTTCACGTTCCTTCAAGATGATCTATCGAAACACAGAACAAAAATGTAAAAAATCAAAAATGAAAAAGATCTCCATTCCTTTTACTAACTTTCATGTGAACTAAACAACATCTTCCTCCCACCTCTCCGAAATGATCAACTTAAATCATTTACCTTCTTCAGGGCTGTGGGCCGTTTTACTTTGGGGATCTCTCTCTCCTTCCCCCTCTTGATACGGGGTGCGGTGGAATCCAGGGAATTGTGTGGGACCGAGTATGTCTGCTGATGGCCCTTCAACATGGACGGCAGGCTGACCAAGCTTGAAGCGTGGAATGGAGTGGTTGTTCCAACTGGAGAGAAGGACAACAAAGTACATTAATACACAAGCAGAATGTGGATAGGTGTAGATGCAAGTTAAAACAACATTAGGGGCATGTGTTTTATGAGTCTGACAAGCACTATATCCTTAAAACAGGTTTTCATGCGAACATTTACAAAAAGGCACAACAATTATGGAATTTCTGAATTACTTATTAGGTTATTTGCTGAACAATGATACATACCTGAACTCAATATTAGCATTTAATGCAAGGCTGATGTATTGTAAAAGTGTGATTGTTTCTGTTCTTAAACACGTGTTGGTGTCTGACTGAGTTAATGAATACCTGTGAATGACAGCGGCTTGGTATTGTTCAGTTGTCTGGCCTTCATAGCCTGCTGGTGTTTCTCCAAAGCTGCCAGCATATCTCCCAGGTCCAGCTCGACGGAGGTTTTGCTCTTCTTCCCTGCTGCTTTGGTGAATGCTTCCTGCCGGGGCGCGGAAAGAAAAGGCAGGAGAAGGTCACACCAATGAACCCGTCAAATGCAACTGAAGATCAGAATGTCCTGACCATAAGCCAGGCAGCAGTGAGGACAAGAACCGATGAAACAAGCCACAACATTCTCAAACTGAACCAATCCTACATGACCAGTTGACATAGTGCGTGTTCATACCTGTAATTTCTTCTGTTCCATGCTGATTTCAGAGTACTCTTGTGCAGTGGCCAACGCAGCAGCCAGAGCCTTCTTCCTCTGGCTCTTGGCCCTCTTGGGAACAGAGGTGGTAATGGGGATGGGTGTCTGCACAATGTTGATGGGGGAGTTTTCTGGCAGGTTATCCAGCTGCGATTAGTGTAGAGACACAAATAAGTAATTAGTCGGGATGAAAAGATGAACCGATACAAGAGTCAGATATATTCGGCCGCATAGATACACAAACACAGATCTTATTGCTGATGAACAAGATGGGTGGATGGTTGGTAGCATTAATGACTTCAACTCAAATGTGGATGTTTTCACAAAGTTGGCAGCCTCCTTGTATCGTGCTCCATATATAATTACAATGTCTTGATAGCGGGAAAAGATTGTTGTTTTTTAAATATTGCCAAACACGTTTCCTATATGGATGGAATAAAATCCCGGATCTGTTAGAGATATACATTTTGAAGTGGTGTCATAGTTAGATTAACCTTTATTTTGATATGGCACACTGATGAACGAGACAATTAAAAAATGACACTTCGTATCAAAAGGTTTGCCAACCCCTGCTACAGCATGTGTGTTAATCGTTGAATGCAACTTGTGCCAAATCACATAGTCAAGATTCAAGTAGTCAAGTCAAAATGTCAGTACCATTGTGTACAATGCTGCATGATGTTTTCATTGCATTTACAGTCTTCAAAACACGCAGAGGTATTGTAAAGAAAACGCCCAGAGCACCACACACCTTGCTACTAACTTAAAACACTGTACACCGACAGTACAGCTGCCAGGAGGAGCAGTCAACACAAGATAAGTAACGCAGTTAATGCTGAAGCGTCTCCTAGCTCAAGGCTAAACTGCTACTGAACTACGTGCTGTATATTTACAGCAGTAGCTCTCAAAGTGCGCGTGACCGAGAAAATATGAAGCGGAACTGTTGTTATGATGTCATAAACTTTTCCATGGTGGAAACAAATAAACAAATCGTGCTTTCATAATAGCAATGGTGTTCATTTGGACAGATAGTCTGTAGATTTCAGTGATGCCCTCGTTGACCCAACCAGCTCAGACTTCTGTCCTGTTTCTGACAATTTTGCTACTGTGATTTCATAAAGTTGGTGGTTTGCGGGTCGGCTTTGGGCGTTTGCTTCCGGAATAAGAAGGCAATGTGGTCAGCTGACAATAATTAACCAAAAATGTTGTACTTGAAATAAAAATGAACCCCTCATAGACAGCTTTAACCTTACCAGGTTTTTGGGAAGTTTAGGTTGCGCATGTGTCTGGGCTGAAGTAGATTCTGGTTTGGTGCTGCGTTGGGCAGCCCCTCCAGTAGCCAGGTCTGGGAATTCATCTTCATCCTGACAAACATGTAGAAAACATTTTAGCACAACAAATAAACTCTAAAATAGATCTATAATGAGTGTGATGTTGACCGTGCTGCACTGATACTTCATCACAATGAAAGTCACAAGAAACCCTCTCTCACCTCAAAGTAGAGGGGCTCTGGGGAGACCCCAGTACCAGTGACCGCTGCTGGCTGCAGCCTTTGTTCTGACTGGTTGGGCTGCACACGCCCCGGATAGCCACTGTGGAAATCCTGAAATGCAGAGACGGTCGGAGAACAAAGAAGTCAAACAGGGTACCGGTGGTATTCAATAACTTTATCCTCTGTGTACTTGTAAATACTGTCAAGTAGAGCTGCAACGATTAGTTGATCGACAGAAAAATAATCGTTACCTATTTTGGTGACCGATTAATGCAATTCTTAATGCAAAAATGGCAGAAAATGTTGTTTACAGACTCAAATATGGGGATTTCCTGCTTAATATATTAAACTGAACATCTTAACAAGACATTTTAAGACATCAACTTGTACTTTAAGAAACATGGATGGACATTATTCACATTTTATAGACCACTCAACTGTCAAGTGAGGGAAACATGGTTGGAAAGGAGTGTGGCGCTGCATCACTATTGTCGGTAATAGTTTTCTTGCTCATAAAAGTTTCCCTATAAGTGGACTCATGTAAATACCTGTTTTGTTTGAATTGTTTATTGACTGTGTGACGGACAGATGTGCATTGTATAAGAGATTATTTTTGATAATTTATTAGAATAAGAAAATGTTGATTTGTTGCTTTTCTAATCACCTTCTGTTAAGCTTAAGTGTGACTCGCAGGACAGAGTCTTTACGCCAACATTAACAGCATTTCATCTATTCTCATAACTAAACACTACAGCTGCTCCCCAGTCGTACAGCAACCTTCTACTCAGCGTCTGCTCCAGTGACATCTACTGTACCTGTGAGAAGTTTCTCTGTTCAGGATTCTTCCTCTGGTCTGCTCTGTGAAACTGGCCGTTCCTGTCCCCCCAGGACTTCTGGGTAGCCTGAGAGGCTACATTTACCCAGGTACCCGCTAGTGAATAGAAGGGAAAAGAAAAATCTAAATTCCTTTGTAATATGTTATATACAGGCTGCATAAGAATTATGAATATGAAAGCACGATGTGTGGATGTTCACAACATGTTGCATCAAGCTTACCTGTCATTACACCAGCCTCTACTCCCTGTACAACACAGAAGACATGGAGAGGGTAGAGAAGAAAAAGACATGTTGAGATATCTAGTGTGTGTTAAATGTGCTAAAAACAGGAATCAAGAATTATTATTAAATCAAATTCTACAGTCCACTGTAAGTCTGTTGGGTCTGGAGCTGGTGGTAAGCAGCCAACTTACTGTGGGTGCTGCTGTATTCTCTGCAGTTCGTTGCATTGCCCCTGCAGCCTGGTTGTGCTTGGGGCTACAGTAGCCGCTGTCACTGTCTATATCTGCCTCACTGGCGCCCTGCTCGTTGTAGTTTTCGGCTGGATGGGACGCCCGTCTTCTCTTTGTCTGCCTGTTCTTCCACAGCAGGGGACTAGCCCGCTCTGCAGCGCACCTCCCTGACGCCTCACCCGGGAAATCTGAGGACAAAGTAGGAGAAGCTCAGACCAGAAGTGAACTTGTTACACAGTGGTACAAAGTGGAATCAAACTGCTGCAATCATTAACATACAAAATAACAATTATTACAGTAGATGAATCAGTCGAGACTCATTAACCACAAACTTGGACGGAGTTTACTTTGTCGGACATCATTCATGAGATTTAAAACCACAATTGAGTTGCCAAAATATTTACACAGGCTCATTAGCTCTCTCAAAAATGGAGACATCACTGCTGACAACATGAGATGCACACCTGGATTATATTAACCTGGAAACTCTGCATTCCAGTTCTTTCAGAAGATAAGCACAGGCATCATCAACGTCAACCTGTACGACCGGCCAGCAGACTTACTGGCATTGTGTGCCGACGGGAAAGTTTGTTGTTCACAGGCAAAACAGACAACTTTAACAAAGTCTGGAATGTTTTTAAGAACATATGTTGATAACGTTGTCTTTAGTTGTTGTGAAACTACTGCTTATTTGTTGTCCACGGATGTGATGCAGCCTTTGCAACAAAACCAACTGCAACTTCTCATCTTTAGTTAGCAGAGTTTTAGTTCGATTTTTGTATTATTGTTTAAAAACCCTCTGTATACACCCTGCATGGTAGGACGTAGTTATAGCTTTGATTATTGCCGCAGTATTCTTACCAGTCTGCTGTGCTGCATCCACCAGCATGACCATCTTGGTCCTACCATCAGGCCCCAAAGTGCACACCTCCTTCTGCACAGCTACACTCCTGGTTGGAGGCCGACGACCCCTTGGAGGTTGGCACACACCCAGCTGTTGCTGTAGGAGAAAGAAAGAAAGGCAGCGCGTGCTCACTAAATAGATTAAGGATGAGGACGGACACTTTTCAGTGACACAAATAACATGCGACGTCAATGTGACAGTATCAGGATAAGGCTGTTGACCCTCTGTACCTTTGGGAGACCGTTAGGTCGCACCATGCCTCTCCCCCTCTGACTGGCCATCCCATACGCTGGCCCCAGAGGCAGAGGTCTTTCGCCGACATCGGCTGAGACAGGGTTGACTACTCCAGCTTGCACAGGACCTGCATAGGGGCCAGGGAAGGGCTGGTAGAAGCCCATCACCGGTGGGCATGGAGCAGGCATAATCTGGTAGTAAGCGTAGTCATTGGAGACAGGAGGCTGGGGTGAAGACAAGATGGGGTAGGCCAGGTACGAACCACCGGGGCTGGGGTTAGGCTGCTGCCAGCGCAGCTCCCCTCCATTATACATAGGATGTTGTCTGTGAAAGAGCAGAGAGGTAACATGTTCAATTACTTTTTTTTGTCTATTTTAGTGAATGTTTTCTTGGTTGATAACTGCATTTTGAGGAGCTGTCCAAATCCAATCCAAAATGTCCTGCCATATTATTAACTGAATGTCACTCCTCCCCCAATAAATATCAAACTAAATACCACAGGACACTCCACAAACGTTATATATGAAACCATATAAAAAAGGCTGTGGTGCAGGTTCAATTGTCTTCATACTAATCTAATTAGTTTTCATGCGTTTTCTTTCTCATGTTTATTTATTCAGGGGGAGTTTCAATGGAAGCAACGCTCTCTTTTGCAGGAATGCCCTGATCCCCTTCATACCTGCGAGTCCAACAACAGTCTGATCTGCGGACCACTGAGCAGCTCCACCGGAGCAGTTGCACAAGGGCCCCTCAGTGGTGGAAATGAGGGAGGGGCAAACGCTGCTTTTCAATTTCCCCACCCAGATTTATCCTGCCGGTATGTTGGATTGAACCGCTGACTCCTACAGCCAAGTGTTATTCTATTGTAGGTCAACTTTAGGCTAGGTGTGCACTGTGCACCTTTGTTATGTGAGAAAGAAAAAGATTCAAAAGAAACTAAATGAAACTCTGTACTGGCAGATACTCAATACTGAGAAACTCACATGTTCAGTTTCAAGAAACATGATTTGCAACATCCTGAGTTAACCACAGCAGTGTGTGAAGTTTTTGGTACTTTGTTTCCCTTATCTTAAATATTTCTCACTTGGTGTTTCCTCTCAAAACATGCAACAGTGTTGGGGAGATGCATTAAAGTGTGTTCCACAAAATAAGGCTAAAGCCCATTTAGCGAGAGAAGGCTGACGCTCCCCGGGTTAACATCTGTGAAGCTGAGGGGAAGTGCATGGTGGTTGGGTTGTTAGGGGGTGTGTACATGCGATGCAGAAATGTTGATAAGGATCCAGATGATATTTTCACAGCCAGCCTACTATAGTGGGCATTTCCTTGCATTCAAATAGGGGGGGAAGGAAACAGAGGAACGGATGTGTGCAAGGATACAGCAGATCACTCGGGACAAAGAAAGAGCCACTGGAAACATTGATTGTGGTTCCAAGTAAACTCCAACTCTGGGAGGGTTTCCATTCATAATTAAGCAGTCTTAAACTATTGCACAATCTAATGGCACTAAGGATCTGATTATGGACACAGTGTGTTCTTGTTATTGCTGAAGTAAATAGTACATTGAATGAGTTATGAAAATAGAAAGGTCCATAAGAGAGCAGATTGTTCTTGGGCGGTTCCAAATGGGGACACCAGACTTCCCACAATACCACAAAGAATGGCAATATTTCTGCCAAAGCGGGAAGCATCGGGAAAATCCAAAATGATAATGAACCTAAACCACTGGTGCCATTCGCTCTCCGTTGAATGGGGTTGAAACGTCTAACTTTTTCTATTCCAGAATCTTTCCCCACTGAAAAAGAGTGACCGTACCTGTTGGGTTGGTTCTCCTGGACGAAAGGGTAGCAGGTGATGAGGTAACTGGGTATGGGAGTGGTTTCCACCCCTCCACCACCTCCTCCTCCTCCTCCGCCACCTACCCCTCCGCCTGCCTCGCCAGAAAGACTCATGCTGACGAGAGATCCTTCGAGACCTTTCTTCTGTGGGATGAACGGTTCCACTTCGGCTGAAAGCTTCACATCCTGCACGAAAGACAAACGAACAGCCATCACGGTCAGACTGTGAGCAACATCAAATGGGTTAGTTCTAAAGTGAAAGCAACAATTCATATCAGCGTAGTAACAACTCCATCTCCAGTCTTCCATAAATTAACTTTATTGTTTTGGGTAGGTTTGCTAAGCTCTCTCTAAAGGGCTTAAAGACTAATGATACAACTTACAAGCGTCAACTTTCCAAAAATTGTGAGAGAAGAACTATACAGAGATGTTATTAAGTTATTAACTTGAGTACTAAATGTCTTGACAGACAAAGCGCTGTAGACGGTCTATTGATCAGTCTCTCCTTTGTTTAGTGATTTCGTCACACTGTTCTAGTTGGTTTACAGTCCTGCGTGTCTACCACAATAAATAAACAAGGTATCAAGCCGTAACACTCATAAAAACAAAGGTGACATGGCACACTACTGCCAGAGGATCTAAGCACAGTACACAACATGTCGAAAGAGGACTCCGGCTATTTTTGACAGTCAATTCTTCATGTGACTCACATCTGCAGCTAGATCAACCAAGGGGAAGAATATAAAAGCTTCTTGTCAAAATGGTCGACAATGAGGCGAGTCTCTGTACCTCAAAGCCAAAAACAAGTTTATAGTTTGTTTTTGGAAACATTATATATAGATAATTATATATAGATAAGTAAGGTAATATTAGATGCACATTAAAAGCTGGTGTTTGAGGATTAAATGTCATGTTGTTACAGTCCCTCAATGGCACCCAGGTATAAACACCAGACGAGACACAAACTGTAGATCATTTTAACAATTTAAGGACTTAACGTAACTTTTGTGTTACATTTAGAGCTTTGGCAGAGTCAGACAGAACGCTATTACCTGTGTACAACACATAAAAGGCCATATAAATCAATCCAGAGAGCAATTTGGTTTAAAAAAAAAAATAAAAATCTACATATTTCTGGCAGGCAAAGGCCCAAAAATGTCCTCCTCAAGTCATTGTGCACAAACTCGATGACGTCTTCTTCTAGTCGGTCTGATTTCACGGGTCTCCAGATGTATGACCCAGACACGCACCCAACAGTCAGATTGTTGTGCTGTAGGAAACGTTATAGCAGGCCACAGAAAGGCCAAAGATAAGACGCCGGGGCAATACAAGTCAGGCTCGAGATTGAAACACTTTAAGTACTTCCAAGCTCATATGGATATGATTCGCTTGGTGATGATACCAGCTAACAGGCAGGCCTACATATCTGCTTAATAAATCACGAGCGAAAAATCAAACCAGAAAACATAGAACATGTAAAAACAACAGAGCAAAGCGTTGCTCATTGTATTACAACGTAGTGTTCCATATTTAAAAGTCATGTGTACTTTTTTATTTGAAATTATAAATAATGTAAACAGTAGTCAAACGTTTCCATTTCTCAGTTTACAGTGACTTGCCCAACATGTCAAAGAGTTATTGCTATAAAGTCATAAAACTGTAAATTTGACGTAATGAAATTTACACTAAACAACATTTCTTCGAATTAAAGGACAGCACAAGAAGGGCGGTTGTATTATTTTTCCATTGCGGTCATGGAACATCTTTCACACCTCATCGTGCTCCTCCTTTGACATCGTCGTGGCGTTGATCTAACCCGAGGTGGCAGCTCCGTGCAAGAGGTCCCGTTAAAATAATCTCCCATTTTGCAGAGGATGAGGAGAGGTGACAGGGTTTAGAGTACAAAGGCTCCCCCTCACTTCTCTGAAACAGTGGTCGGGGTGCATGAATAGAGTCATCAGTGTGGCCAGTGGATGTCACACAGACAGCTATTGTCTCCCACTGCTACTGTCCGTGGGTGGTTCTCTGACTTTTCCTCAGTTTATCTATAGAACCCATCCGATCTATGGTGAATGGAGCCAGGTCAACCGGTTCACTGAAGAAGACCAAACTACAGTTGCAATGAAAGATTTTTTACAAACCCCCAGGTAGTAGCAGCCTCCGTGGCAGACTGACATCGCTGCAAGGGTTTAGGACTCGAGTAGTCGGTCTGAACATGTACCACCGTACAGTATAGCTGATAGGGAGCTGTGTTATAGGATTAAGCTGGAAAGGATAAAGTAGGGACAGTGCTACAGGATAAGCTATTTATACGGCAAGCCATAGCATGGAGGCCTCGTGTGCACTGAATTCTGAACACAAGTGGAAAAATCCAACTATCAAAAAATAAAAGTTGTGAATGAAAACAGAGCTGGCCAGTGGATCCATCTCTTGAATCAACCATATGTGTCTTTGTAGTATCCGAGTGTCAGGGAGAGGCTGAGTGAGAATAGCTGGGATTGTGGAAAAAGACAATGAGGTCAGACCCAGATGTGCATGGGGTTGGGGGGGGTGACAGATCTCCGAGTAATTAGACTACTGATCTCACAAGCCTCTGTTTGTTTGTGTGACCACTTATTCTTACACAAGTTGCGTTCAAAACACCAACAGGCAGCGTCTGTTTCTGTATGGTCTGTGTAGACAGGAGAGCAGAACGCATAGAGACTTTTAAGGGGTTTAACAGAACTGACGAATATCACAACACTCGATCAGATGCACGAAAATCTCGCACACCCCCCGTGATGTCAGCCAGAAAAACACACCATCGTTCAATGCTAACCGGTTAATCTGAAGCATTTGGCAATTCGCCTCGGGACACAAAACCCAATTTAACTCCAAGAATGCCATACATGCAGAAGAACCAGATATTCCTCTGCCGACGATCCACGAAACCTGTCCGCCTCTCCTAACAACAACACAGTACACATTCCTGGTGACGCGACTGAAACCTTATGTCATCCAAGGTTACCTCTCCAAATTGTGACCCAAACAATAAAGCTACCCTTTCCGAAAACACTGCTGGCTGTAACGCTATCTGTCGTCAAATGACAGAAGAGATATTTAGCTTTAAGGCTAACAGGGAGCTAAGCTAACTCTTAACGCAAGACCCGTCTTTCTGAGCTTATCGCATATAATTGCTGTCATGGAAATACATCTGAATAATTTTGTAAAATGACCAAAGACACATGACACTAAGACAGAAGACCAGACACGAATGAACGCTATATCCAGAGTCCTTTTTTTAATGAGCTGCAGATACCGTTAGCTGTGTTCACGTTAGCTTGCTAGCCAAATGGGATAACAGTTTGCATTACAAAACACCGGAGCTAGAGCTATTGGGCGATTTGTATGTCTAATGACACAAATAGCTTATTCAAGCCACAACTGAGCATCGCTGCATTTTATAATTATTGTTTTCTAATAATGTTGACCAGAGTGCGATGTTGGGCCTCGGAAGCATTACCTAAACCGTGTCCCCTTCTTCCACAGGCTAAAGCTTTAGCCATCCAACCCAAACAAAACACAAAAAACACCCCAGATCATTTTAAATTAAACTGACACGTTACCTTATTGTCACTAGCGTCCATGTCAGTCACCGACACCGCGACAGACGGTCATTGACCAAAATGCAGACGTCAGGATGTGAGCATTTTGATTTTCTTCATTGTGAATACAAAATAATAATCACTGAAGGCTTACAGACTCACACCCAGTTTCTGCTAACCGACAGCTGCACCCCCACGGATCAGTACCGACTGTTGCTGCGTCAGCTGGCTGCGCTCTCCAGACTAGCTTGAAAGCTTCGGGGTCGCTGTGTGAGTGTGGAAATGGGAGTCACCTGGGACGGAAGCCGTCGCGGCTCAAAAAGCTTTTGACTGGCTAGGAAACGCAGTTATGTCACGAGTACAAGGAAGTGTCTCCAAAGAGCGATTCAAATTAAGTAAAATAAAAGATGTATTCATATCTCATTTGTGACAGTTAAAAACATTTTTTATTTGTATTCCTCCTCACCAGTTACAGAGTTAAAACTGTAGCTAGTCAAACTCAACAGAATCCTTTCAGTGCTGAGAGAAATCTGTTTATTACCAACAGGCAACAGTATACATTAAAATATTGTGTACAAGTCTTTATACACATTTTTGACTTTTCTTTTTCTTTTTTAAACAATTGAAGCATTTGTGTGATGCACATGGAAGAATCTGCCAATCAGGAACATAAAAAACAGAAAAGTAAGTGCCAGTGATTTCCTCTCATCACGACAAAACAACACACTTTGAACACGCTCTTGGGGGTTCCTGGAGTCTTCTTTAAGTTGGTGGCATTCTCAAAACCTGTGCTGTGTATCTTGTCTCAGAGGATTTACTTGAAGAAGCACAGTAGCATACTTTATGGATGTATTCATACATGCCATTTTCCTTGTCTCTTGATTTGACATGCCATCATGTGAGCTTGCTAACAATGGCTTGGTTGAGAGAGTTCAGCTGATTTGTCCATTTGTCTAAAGCTGTGTAGCGAGCCCCTCCTCTCTTCTGGTAGTCCAATTCTAGTAGCTGGTTGACTTGGTCAATTCGGCCATGGATTGTGCTGAAAGAGAGAAAGAAGCAAAGTAAGCATTTAAGCCACATATATTGCTATAAAAACATAACTTAATTCTCCACACAATTTAGTCAAGCTATGATATTTGAGCCTTGAATTGCCGTTTCAACTGTTGCTAGTCTTCTTGTAGTTACAACTGTATCTTTGATTTGCTAAATTATGGGATAATGCAGTAAAGAAAGTCAATGACTGGTCAACTGTTTTATAAACATTGATGTCTGTATTAAAACAACAAACTATATTATTGTTTTTTCAAAATGAGTGGCAATAATAAAAAAAATCTAAAAAGAATCCCTTTAACATGTCAGAGCATGACATTTCCCTCAGCAGTACATCAAAATAACCTGATGTTTTCCCTTCCTAATGAAAGTTATTTACATCAGAGGAAGAGAACAGCTGGGATGTGTGGCTGTAAGTTGCAGATCACTAGGACAGTATGACAATCAATCTAGGACAAGATGTAATTAAAAGTGCCAACTCATTCCGCCTGACTCTCTTAAAAGCCAAAGAATGCGATGAATGAGGAACTACATCCATTTACAGGAAGGGAGCTATTTATTGCTCTGACATCTCAGCAGGCACATGGGACAGAAACTTACTTATCCAAGATGCACTGCACCAGCAAACTCTCCACATCACACACATCGATGTTCAGCTCCTGAAACACAAGAAAAAAAAAAAAAGACGAGACTTATCCTCACATCTGTAAAGAAGTATGTCAACTAGTATGATTTAACATGGAAGGAGGCACAGAATCCAACACACTGCAGATTGTAAATGGTGTGCTAGATGTGTTGCAAAAGACCTGTGGAGACAGTCTACCATGTCTAAGTATGTGAACTACTGAGTATATAAACAAATAAAGAGAATGTGTTGAAAAAGCATGAACAGATACCATCCATGTACAAGCATTAATGTTGACTGTCATGGTACTGAGAGATGAGCCCATGACGTGAGTGAATTAATTCCTGCCTTGTTGGCACCTGTTCTTTTATTAGAGTAAATCTAAGACACTTCCGTGTGGAAAACAAGCTTATCTATGGGCTTTCTTCCAATGGTACTTTTCTCATCATTGATATGACCATGACACAATACAAAACAAAAAATGGAAACAATCCACACAAAGTCACATGGCACCTAATAACATTCCATGAAAATGCGATCAAAGAGGAACGACAACATAGAAAGTCACCGGACAGGATGTGTTCTGATCACATGGACTTACCTTAGAAATGAAAGGGATGTGTATTCTCGTGTACGGTTTGATGAGTTTGATAAGTACTTGAGTTCTAATGTTCCGCAGGAGCTCTGAAACACAAAAAAATCAATGATAATCTTTTCTCAATGTTCCTAAAACACATTTATATCACACATGTGGACTGCAGTCACGTTCGCCAACTCACCTTCTATGTGCTCTCTAATGAAGGGGTCGTCCATTATGTTACTGTGATTCGTTTTCAAGATTTTCTCAAATTCAGTGATGTCATTGTTCTGGTAGGCGCTGTAAAAACAAAATAAAATCAGTGTTGTTACACCACATACAATGTGTTTCCGTGACCTACAAGAAAACTCATCCTGATAGCTGTCGAACACATTTCAAATTATTAGATTGTTTTGTAAACACTATTCTTATTACAGTTTTGGAGATTCCTTTTTTAGTTTCTTGTTTATGCAATAAAAATGTCAAATATATGCATGGAAACTGAGCAAATCTGGGACAGTGCCAGTTATTTATGTCAGTATGAGGACAAAGGAGAACAGACAATGAAGCAGAAGAGAACTGAAGGTCTCGGGAAGACATAAGTCATAAACCATACTTTATACGAATACTGTGAAATGCACACCAATGTTGACAGGGCACTGTTTAACTGCTACGAATGACATTAAGGCCACCATTGTTGTTATTGTATGATTTTGTACAAAGATGAAATAGGAAAAGGGATCCATTAAAAATGTGAACAAACATGACGCATCAAACTGCATTAGTATGCAACTGGGACACAGGGAATGAGAAGCACTGCTGAAATACTGACCACAGGCCATACAAGAGATACCAATACATTCAGCACTTATTTCTAGCACTCTGGGTCTCTTTTTTATATTTTACCAACAATAACATTTTCCTCACCAACTTTGTTGTGATAGATAAAGATGCAGCACGCAAAGCACAGTGAAGTTCATGTAAAGTTGTTCCGAAGGCATGCTGGCACAAACCCAGGGTGCGTTTGAATAAAAACTGAGATTCTGGAGGGTTAATTATCACACTAAATGTGTGACTTGTTAGGGACTGGTCATAGCATGTCGCACCTCTCCTTTGCTTCTCTTTTAAAAGTTGTTCTCTCCTCACAAATACTTATGGATGTTAAGTGATAGAGTGGGTGGCTTAGTGACTCTGTCAAACAAAGGTTTACAACTGAATGTATGGAACAACCATACAACGATCAGACAGGTCAACTATATCCTCGAAGCCTATCGTTTTAAAATAAAGTGAACCACAAAGTCTTTATTCAAATTATTATGTTATAAACAATTGAGGTGCTTATATTTTATTCTCACTTAGAAATAGTTTACACAGTCAGGTTTAAAAAACACCAAAGTAGTCTCACTATTGTTGTTGCTTGTCCATTTGTGCTGCTTTGTGAAGCTGTGGCCATGAAGTTGGTATAAAGCTCCGAATTAATTTAGTGAGTAAAATGTTATGACAGGTAGAAATAATTGCCAATGCTATATGGCAAGACAAAAGAAATACATTAATGTATGCTTACCTGACTAAGTTTGTCATTGCTAGGATTTCTGGGTCATTTTTGTATGGTTTGGCCTGTGGAAGAAAAACATGAAAAGTTACATCTGGCACTAAAACTTAAATAAATATGTTCAGCAAGTGATTCTGATTAGACTTTCCGGCTGCGCTTTATCTAAAAATTCAACTGCAACCTGCACAAGTGTATGTGGCAACCACAAGTCTGTGTCTCTCGTGTTTCATGTTCTTACATACAGTATGCATATATATAAAAAGTAAACATTTCCAACAGTAAAATGACTTTCATACCTCTTGTGAGTCAAAAGGGTTTATTCCGGACTTCATCAGCATGTTGGCTAGGACCAAGTACTTCAGGCATGTCGTCCTTCTTGGGCTGCCGGACTCGTCATAGTTTTTAAAGGCCTCAAAGAAGTCTGTGTGAGCTTTCTCAAACTCCCCCTCTCTCAAGTGCATCTTCCCACCACACTCTGGTCAGGAGCAAACAAGCACAAGTCATTCAACAGACAGTGATGTCAGTACTTATAGTGCAAGTCACGCTGAGCACAAAGCTAGACAACTGCGTTATGAACGAAGGAGATATGTGCAGCAATAATACCTCGGATAACTCCCATTATGAGCGGGTGAGGAATGGCGGATTTAATGTGAAGCGACTGCTCATACAGGGCTTTCAATTTCTTGTTGTTTTTTTGTGCCGTGTACATCTGGATCTCCAGAGCATAAATCTCCAACAGCTGTGTGCCTTTCTTCAGGTCATCCTCTCCATCATCCGTCTGTAGTTGATATAAATATAGAACAACCACTTATTGGATCAATATTGTGATCAAATCTACATATATTTATATACACTCACACCTGATAAAAATACTTTGGCATCATAAATGGTGATACTGATACACTTTACTAATTATATAGGTTTGAATGACCAAACAATCAAGAAGTCCACAATTTATTCTAAGACATCTGGAAGGTTAAACCTTTTTTTTGTATCAATAGAAACCCCACAACATATTATTGCATTTACAGGTAGAAAAGGAATAAAGACTTTATCTTACTACCTGACATGACTGGTGAAGTTGCCTCAGGATCTTCTGCAGTTTCCCATACTCTTCTCTCTCTAAGTAAAGCTTCCCCAACTGCAGGAGAGGAACAAAAAAATGAGAATTTGAAACACCTGTTTACTAGGAAATTATGGTTTAAGACTGCTTTGAAATCAGTGAAGAACCGTTGAATACCTTTGTGTTAGTTTTAAACCACAGTCTGTCATTTTTTGCATCCTTCAAAGCATCCAACGTGGTTTCGTAGAACTCCTGTAGTAAGTCCATCTAGCGACACAAGAAATGCATTTCAGAAAGACAGATTCAAAACATCCGATACTGCCACTTGTATTTTTTAGTCTCGTATCGTCTATCCCTACCTGTTTGGAGGTAGAGATGTAGTCCAGAATGGAGTTGATGGACTTCTCCGAGTAGTTTCTGGTGACGGCA